GTAGCACTCAGTACAGCCTGCATCAGACAAGTCTTAGTTAATAAATGTATTTTTTTTGTTTGTTTTGTTTTAAATTAAGACTTGTGTAACATTTGTTTTCATTCTTATTTTTATCATGTTAATGGAGGAAGAAAAAGCAGTATCGGCTTCATTAATCGGCCAAACAATATCGGCTGCATGTATCGGCGTATCGGTTAGACTGATGTTTAAAAATTGGTATCGGCCTTCAAAAACCTGTATCAGTCGATCTCTAAAAAGAACAAGAAGAATCTTTTCTTTAATCACACCTCCAGTCAAACCAAGTGGAATCTGTTTGTTGGTCTGTTTGCACCTGTGGTGCATCGTGCTTGTTTGTAGTTTAGATAAATGTCTAAATAAGAGCTGAAAGTGATGAAGCAGAAAGACGGAGCAAGAGGTGGACGAGCTGTGTCCTCTTCTCCCTGAGCGTCTCCTGGGAAGTCGTCGCTCTGAGAGGCGGGGCTTAAACTGGAGCAAGGAGGGAAAAATGACATCAGCAGCCTTTGCTTACGTACTTTTCATCCCCCCTCTGCTCCTCCCCCATCTCTCTTTTGCTGAAATTACTTCTTTTTTTTCACCTTCATCCCTCACTCTCCATCCCTCCCACCTCCTCCTCTCTCTCTCCGTGTGTGACGGAGGCAGCTGTAATAATGGCGTCCTGTTCTTCCTCCCCTGCTTGTGTGCGCACATGAACTCCCTCCTCCCCTGCCTGTTTATTCATCCCTCTCTCTCTCTCTCTCTCTCTCTCTCTCTCTCTCTCTGCACGGGCTGGTGAAAATGGCAGGATTACTACAGGTCGGGGATAATCCGCTGCCCTGACGGCGTTTCCATCCCCGAGCTGCGGGAGGCGTGTGACTACCTCTGCATCTCCTTCAGCTACAGCACCATCAAGTGCAGAGACCTGAGTGAGTACACACACTCTGCGTGTCGTTGACTCGTTGCTCCGACTGTGCCGAGCTGCAGACTTGTTGTTGTTCGTGCACGGAGTTCGGTGAGTGAGTTCCACATCATTTTGCTGTTTTTGTCGCCTTTTTCACCTCACAGCTGTTGGAGAAAATGGCTCGCAGAGCAACCTGTTTTTGATTTGTCGCCGTCTGCGTCGCACGTGCAGCCGACACGATGCCGCTACGCGCCGACGGGTCCCGTACTTGCGTTTGGGATGTTCGCGTAGCACTTTTSCACATCGGTGCCTCTTGTTTTGTTTTTTTTGCGTGTGGGAGGAGCGGCTTTCAGCCCACAGCTCRGCTCTAAGTAGGTCATGATTAGCTTTGAGATTTACTGCCTGTTCTGTGGGCACAGCACCTACCAGAGCGAGCACTTTCATTTATCCACAACCGGATGTGAGGTGTCCTGTTTTCACTCACTTCCTGCTTTTGTCAGGTGTTTGTGGATCAAAGCTCCTCCCAAAACCTGGCCTTTTATTTGTAGTTTTAACAAAYAATTATGTTCAGGTGTTCAAGTGGATTCAGGTTGTTCTGTGTTTTTATTTACTGTTTAATAAATTGACACAAGGAGCTTAAACAGAAGCACCAGAAAGTTCYCAAAGTTTACTGTGCTGTTTGTGTGACACAGCAGCAGTTCTGCTTTGTTTCTTCCTAAAACCTCATGTAGAAGTGGTGAAAACATACAGCACTTYGTTCACCAGTTTGTTGTTTGTGGATCCGAGGGTCCCGCTTCCTCGCGCTCTTTAAGAGTTTTGGAGTTTTTGTTCAGTGTCCGGAAAAGTGCAGAAAAAGGAAATTAGGGCATGGAGAAAAAAAAAGTGTTAAAAAGTAATTATTCCTCATTTTGTTTTCTAAAATATAAGTTCTGAATTTCTAAAATGAAATTGCTCCAACGTTTAGACGTTTTTTACCCCATTTTTCTTTTTAAATCAAGGAAACTCCAAGTGCTGCTCCGGTGCAGATTATCACCACCTCATCACCTTAGATCAGCCGTTCCTAAGCTTTTTCAGCTTCCAACCCTCAAACTAACAGTTGCAGATGATGTGACCCCAAATATATGAGGTTTAAAAATGCAAATGTTTCTAACAACTTTATGAAACAAGAACATAATTACAATAAAAAAAACAGGGCTGCAGAAACGAATCAATAAAAATCGATTATTAAAAGTGTTTGCAACAAATTTCATTAAGGATTTGTGTGTCGGGTGATTAATTTAATGATTGAGCTTTAAGTTTTAATTTGCTGACAACGTCTGAGTGAGGACACTTTAACCTAATACTGCAAACAACACAACACATTTATTTTCAGTCATAGCAATATTAAACATTAATAAACTTCCTGTCAAAATTCAGCCCAACACTAAAACATCCATCATTTTATTTTAGAGAACCACTATTGGTTGATGAAGGCAGATTAAATTGAAATGTTTGAAAAAATTCAAAGGTGGAAACATTAGTTTCCTGCTGTTCACCTTTTAACAATTACACAGTATTATTATTACACAGTACATATGTTATTACACAGTTCATATGTTATTACACAGTTCATATGTTATTACACAGTACATATGTTATTACACAGTGCATAAGCTATTATTACACAGTACANCATGTGTTATTACACAGTACATATGTTATTACACAGTACATATGTTATTACACAGTACATATGTTATTACACAGTACATATGTTATTACACAGTACATAATGTTATTACATAGTACATAATGTTATTACACAGTTCAAATGTTATTACACAGTTCAAATGTTATTACACAGTTCAAATGTTATTACACAGTACATATGTTATTACACAGTGCATATGTTATTACACAGTGCATATGTTATTACACAGTGCATATGTTATTACACAGTACATATTGTTATTATTACACAAAACATGTTATTATTACACAAAACATGTTATTATTACACAGTTTATATGTTATTATTACACAGTACCTATTATTATTACACAGTTTATATGTTATTACACAGTTTATATGTTATTACACAGTTTATATGTTATTACACAGTTCATATGTTATTATTACACAATTATTGGAGCAATCAGAAAATAAATCCCTGATAATAATTCAAACTTTATGTGAAGTTGCAGAAATATTTATACTTAAACTAAAATAAATTGTTCAAAAATAGATGGAAAATATAAAATTATATTGAGTCTGCTTCATGAAGGAAGAACCTCAGCTTAGCCTGTTAGCTTTAGCGCAGGTGCTATATTGCCTTATATGTATTAGCTCGGCATTAGCG